TCGCGGCGAGGGCAAGTGCGTTAAAAGCGGCGTTTAATTGGATAACAAAAATAATCGAGATCGACACACATACAGATGTAATTATAACATCATATTAAAACTTTATTTGGTGAAATACATTGACCAAGCCTGGATTCTTATTTCATAAATTATTACGCAGATCAAGCTGCAAGCATGGAGGTAAAAAAGAACAGAGGTGTGAATTCAACATTCAACACCAATCACCAAACAATTCAGAAACATTTAGTCTTCGAAAATGAAAACAGTTAGCAGTGTGTAAGGGCTGTGTAATTTCCTGTTTGTCCGACGCTTCGTTTTCGTGTCACTGTCAAAATTAACAGGGACTAAATGGTCTCTATAAAACGATAACCAGGATCGCAAAAAAAGTCAACTGATTTGAAACACTTGCCGGACATCTCTCTCTCTTCTGAAATCCGCCTCGGTGATCATGGGCTGGTCCGGAATCTATTTCTTTCAAAAGTGTTGCGCCAGGTTTACGTTGTCGCCGTTTCTTTTTAAACCTAGTCGTTTTTTTTATGGACGAGGACAGTTTTTCCCAAAAAAATGAATCTAAGGTTAAGTGGTGTCGCACCTTCAGATCGATTAGAAACGTGTGAATACTTAAACTACGACTATACGTTTCACTGCAACTGCCCACAACACAACATCTAAAAACTCTCTCTCTCAAAAAAAAAAAATAGACAAAGAAAATACGCCGACCGAAAAATGTATATCGTTTAAAAGTATACTGAACGACCAGTGTTATTACGGCTCAGGGGTATGACTTCCTCTCACATTTTGTCATTTGGTGGCCCACTTTCAGCGAGAGTCGGAAATCCGGAAACAGTCGACCGTTTCATGATAGGTGGGCGTGGCTACAACACGAGAAATATCCCAAATTTACTTGGATACGAGTAATCATTTTCAGCAAAAAAATCAATAACTACCCTTTTCAGTGGAACACAGATCTAAAATGGGAAACGTGAGGGTGGGCATTGCACAGGCACTTTAAATAACAGAAAATTACCCTAAAAGTTGGTAAGTGGGCATCCCACACAAAATCCACTAGTGTTACCAGCACTAGTATAAATATAAATAACACTGGCACCATACATTCTGTTCTAAATTCATATTCATTATTAGGGCAGATATTTTACATTTGTTAGGTTTTTCAGTGACATTAAAGTCATATTTGTATTAATCCACTTGCATAGACCACTTTTATTCAACCTTGGTAAAATATAATGCAAACGTTTTACATGTATGTACATGCATTCCTGCTGTAGATTATTTGGGTCAAAAATAATATTTATCCTTATAAATCAAGTCCTATGGACCTTCATAGACCAACTTTTGTAATAAGATAATGTAAAGCGAGATATGTCTATTCTAGGGGTTACCTGCGACTATGTGGGAATCGAGTTCCAAGTGATGATGACAACGCATGCTAAAAATGTAAAGGCTCATGGGTAGACGCATGTTTGTAAACAACGACATGCTTATGGCCGTTTGCCATATGCATAGGTGACGACTCCTCACTTTAAGTGATTTTTAGTAAAATGTTAATTCATTCCTGGGGATGTTTCAATCAAAACTGGTACTAAGATAATGTATATGTAACAACTCTGCCAGTATATGCCCATCTGGCTCGTTTTAGATAAGAAATGGCCAAACTAACATAAACTCTACCTTTGATTTTTAACCTAAGATTATGCAAGGAACTGAACCATATACCATTGAGGTGCGAAGAAGTAGAAAAAGAAAATGAAACTAAAAAACGAACATTTATTGAAAACCAGATGACTGAGGCAATGTTAAGAACTTGCTGGAGGTGCAAGAAAAAGTTCTTCAAAGAAGAGGGCTGTAATAAAATGACCTGTATGTGTGGCGCCTCTATGTGTTATATTTGTCGGCAACCCATCAAAGGCTACGAACATTTTGGAACAGCGCCGGGACAGTAAGTATATGTTTCAGTATGCAGTATGGCCCAACATGTCAGGTATACTATTTGGGGAAAGTGATCATAGGTTTTGAATTCCCTAGGCAAATTCCTTAGGTGATACATTACTGATGAGGGGAGGGTGCGATGTTATGGTAATAACCGGTGGACTTGTTGAATATACATACTTGTTATGGTGTCAATCAGAAATATCTTACTAATATATGTACGAATTTTTAAATTTTGTTGCATTTCACTGTGTGTGTACAATGTATCAGAATTTTTTAACTAGCTGTGCTCTCGCTGTCGCTCGCAAATGTCGTAAATTACGAAATTTGGACAAGATTTACGAACAAAATAAATATCTATTAGTAGGATTTACGAACACATTTTGTATAAAATACCCTCGCAAATCGCCCTCATTTACTTTTCAAGACTCGACTGTGATCATCACCCGTGTTACGGTTTGAGTGATTGCCATTTTTAAGTTAAACAATGTCCTGTTACTTCTAAGATTGCAACAATTGCTACATGGTGATCGCGATCAACACGGAACTGCCACTGAATGTATTTTTCCACTCTAAAGTTATTTTGGTGTCATCGCACATGCGTAGTTTAGTCGACATGTGTTTCAAGTTACTCTCAGTATGGGACGGTTTCATGTCGCCCTTATCAAAACATGTGATTTGTTTATTTATTGAAAATGGAGACTACGTCAAAACGGAGCAGACAACTGCTCGACGAGTATTTTTCACGACGAGATGGAGAAACCGCTAAATCGTGTTCAGAACCAGAAACCCATGGGTGTCCTAACCCTGACAGCACCAAGAAACAGAAAGTTGATCGTACTGCAGCACGATTTCAGAAATAATGGAAGGTTAGCTGCGGTTTCGTAGCCCTTTGGTGCGACATACAATCTAAATTGCCCTACCAATTTCATTCGGACGTCTTGTCACGTAAATAATGCGGTTGGCAACATAGGGCTATGATTCCACAGCTAATGGAAGGCGAGACAAGGTTAGCAAATCGATCGAAAAATACTATAATTTGTGTAACATTCTTACCGGGCATTCTTTAATTCAGAAATTTCGATGAAAATAAATAGTCATTTTGTGTCGTCATAAACGTCAACATGCGGGTTTGCATGATGAGCACGGGAGATTACTTCATAATAATATTGATTGGCATAGAGTTTTTTCTGAGAAATTTCCCGTGAAAATTTATTCACAGGATGACTTGTGTTCTAGGCAGTGAACTTAAAAAGTGAACTTTTGAATGATGACTATTTTCCCCACTGTTAACAATGTGAGCTTATCATGAATATGTTTAATTAATACTGAGTTATTCAAATAAAGGTTCTGGTGTCTACATTGCATATTTTGTTGTGATGTTTTGTTGTACCATCATAAATGGTACATTTTGTGGAGCAGACTGCCTAATTTGATGTCATGAAATTACACACAAAATTAGAGCTCAGGTTGCACCAGCAAGCACCATTTTCAGCATGCTGTTCTTGTTTTCGGCGGACGACAGAGGGGACACCTCCCTCTCCTTCTCTCTTCCCCGTTGTGCTCGATCGCGGGAAAATGCTCCGCAGTTTCCAGACAAAGTTTACTAATACTTTTTTTTCTTGATTAGTAAATTTACTATTACCTAGCAAATTCCAGAGAGAGCCCAGACTAGCCACATGTTTACCTGTCATTTTAGCCAGACACTCCTTATTTTAGACAGGTACTCAATTTTTAAAAAAAATTGTACAAACAAATTACAAGAATCAACAAAAAATTGATTGTAAGTCTCTGGTTACAGACTAGGGAACTGCTATAACAGACACTTTTTTATTTTCTGGCTATAACCCTTGTGTGTATAAATGAAAAACAGGTTACAGGAAGTAACGTGCATGCGTACAATACACAAAAAACAACTGAATCGTTGTTTGTCAACTCCCCTTCCTTTGCACATATGATAGTTGAGCAACTAGGGAATTCAGCAGCAGTTCATCTGTCATCACTCTCCCAAATTGTTAAGATGGCATAGCTCCCCTAATCACTCATTATAACCATGAGTCATTTCTAGGTCATCAGCCATTTTGAAAAGACTTAATCACTTGTATTACCTTGTTTACATTTATTTATTTAGGTGTCCCCCAACACTGGATATTGATCATCGTATGTTTCATTTGAAAGAGGTGGCCTCAGCTGGTGAGAAGGCCAAGGATGTTTATAAAAAAGACAATCCCGAAGAATCTGAAGTCGATTTAAAGTATGACCCCATGAAAGATGTTACTAAAGGTGAGTTTGTATGTCAATTTTGTGTTTTCCCATTCCTTGAACTGTTTTTTGACTCCCATGTGCGAAGCACACAATAAGAGTCTTCGCAGTTAGTGTGTCTGTATGTGTGTGTGTGTATGTGTGTCCGTCTGTTCTACTGATATCTCAAGAACATACATCGTTTTTTGATGAAACTTGGTGAATAGATGCTCTGGGCCAATGTGCAGATGTGATAGGTTTTTGGTAAAAATCTGTGCATATTAATTACCTAATTTGCATAATTAGTTAATTTTTCAGCTTTTCGACTGATATCTCGAGTACTAATCTTCACATTCAATGAATCTAGAACTATGCAGAGACCCAATTAGTTTTTGGTAAATATTTATGCAAATTAATCACCTAATTTGCATAATTAACCAATTTTCAACTTTCACACTGATGTCTCAAGTACTAATCATCACATTTAAATAAAACGTTGTACATGGATGCGGTAGGACAATAGACAGACCTAATTAATTGTGGGTTAAAATCTGTACATACAGTCAAACTTGTGTTAACGGCCACCTGGATATAGCGGCCACCTGCCTATAGCGGTCACAACCGAACAGTCCCTACGAATTTTACATGTAAAGTACCCTGTTTACAGCGGCCACCTGCCTAACGCGGCCAACGGCCACGCTTCAGCGGCCGCAGTGATCAGTTGAACTGCATATAACGGACATAGATCCCGGATGTCTTGCGGACTACTGCCTTCCACCTCAGACAACGAATAAGCTCACAAAGGACAAAGTTAGCACGTTTTCACACCTTTCATTCAACCGATGGCTTTGGCAATTATGTTTTATTCTTGTTTATAATTCAGTTTACCACGGCAAGCACACCGTACCGATGGCTATGGAACGCCAAAAACATAATTACGAATTTGAAAGTGTCTTGATAAAAAA